GCGCCGTCATATATTCGACAAAGACGCACATAGCTTCGCCCGTGAACACCCCCCCCCCTCCCCCACGGGATCCATGTGTCGCGTGGTGCTTTTGTGCGTGTAGGTGTGGTTCCCGGACTCTGCCTACAAGACGGCCCAGGCGATCAACGACTTCAACCGTGGGGAGAACCTTCCCCTCATGATCTTCGCGAACTGGCGTGGATTCAGCGGCGGAACTCGCGACATGTGCGTCGGTTGGGTCGGGTTGGTCGCTGTTTGAACGCCCATGGCTGGTAGAAAGGTGCCATGCTCTCTTTTCTTTCATGTTCCACTGCTGTGTTGGCACATGCATACGCTGGAACCAGAGTTTCAGCAGTACCTGTCATATCGCACACCGTATGTGTCCGGGCATGCGTTACTGCCGTGGATTTGCAGGCATGGCACCAGGTTTCGCTTAATTTTCGATACACTCCGAACACCCGAAGGCGAGGGTAAGGTTGCTGTATCTGATTTTCTCTACAGAGTGCTCGTGAACAACACGAAGGGTTCTTTCTTCGCACCTAGAAGTGTTCATTGCTGTTGTTGTTGCGCACTGCTGTGACGCTTTTTTTTATGTTTTTTTCTTGTATTTCGGTGGGAATCACTGTTAGGTATGGCGAGATCCTCAAGTTCGGCGCGCAGATCGTGGACGCCCTGGTGGCCTACAAGCACCCGGTGTTCGTGTACATCCCGCCCAACGGGGAGCTGAGGGGGGGAGCCTGGGTGGTTATCGACCCCACCATCAACGATCAGGTTCGTGGTTTCATTTTTTTTCTTCCTGAAATATATGCTTCATGCTTAAGGGTATACTTCCTCTGTTTAGGGTAAGTTAGGCCGGGACGACGGGAACCGACCACATCGAGTGTTAGATGAGTACGGACAGATGGAGGTACTGGGGAGAGACATCGGAACTGTTCTTATTGCAAAGACTACAACATGCAATGAAAGAGAGCGACTACCCGTTCTGGGTAAAAGGGATCGGAACGGTTTTCAATGTCAAGAACAGCAACAAAATGCAATCGAAGAGACAAACTACCCGTTCGAGATGTAAACACATTTTTTGTTTTTGTTTTTGTACAGAATGGGTGGCTTTATGTCGCGCACCGTATACATGTAGCATGGTGCATCATCTCCCTATCCCGCAGGCATTGGCTCGGAATTTGTGGCGGTACTGCGGAGATATCGCAATCGCCGCGTGTATGTATTTTTTTGTGAGGAAAAATATTCTAGCAACGATGACTTCAGAGCCTCGTCGCGCTCGAGATGGGTGGCTTCTCATGTCGCTCACCGTGTACGTATAGCATGGTGCATCGTCTTCCATCCCGCGCGGACAGGCGAGGACGACAGAGCCTTACTCGCCCGCGGAGGAAGCATAGCTGCTCCTCCGATGGGAGGTTTTGCTTGATCATCTCTTGCCGATATTTGGTTCGGTTGTATCATCACTGTGTTGTTGACATGGTGGATGTTGCTATTATGTTGTTGTTGTTGTTGCTGCTGTTGTGGTTGTTGTTGTGCGTGAATCAGGTGATGGAGATGTACGCCGACGCGGAGTCGCGGGGCGGCATCCTGGAGCCTCCGGGCATCTGCGAGGTCAAGTTCAGGGCCGCCGACCAGATCACCAAGATGCACGAGGTGACTGATATCAAATCTACGTTTGAATGCAATCTACCAGTATCTACTTGTATCTCTTGTCTTCTTTTTTTTTTTGGTAAAGTAAGGTTACTCATATGTGTCTATTTGTCTGTCTCACGTTGTCGTGTTAAGACTATTGTTTGTAGTATCGCCACGTAGTGAAGATGCACGAGGTGACGTCATGTCTACCTATCAGTGTGTCTCACTTTTTGTTGCGTTACAACAGTAGAGGGTTGTTGTGTTTATGTCCCCGTGATGATGAGTTTTTTTTCATGATTTCCGGCGGATTTTGAGTCAGCACGCATGAGAGTGCCATTTTCGGGACCTGTGGCGTGTCCTCCCCGAAACCAAACATTGAACTTCATTGCAATTAAATGGTGGCCTTTGCCTTAGAGAGCACCCACATGGCACAACTGTAGGTAATATTTGTGGCCTCGAGACGACGATGTCTGGTCGTTCAGCTTCAGTATTGGATGCTGCTGCCGTCCCTCTGCTTGTCAACGTCTGTCGTTCAGATGCAGTCTTGGACATTGCCTAACCCTCCCGCCGTCCCTCGCCCGATCTCTGAATTGTCAGCATCTGTCGTTCAGATACAGTCTTGGACATTGCTGAACCCTCCCGCCGCCCCTCAACCCTCTCTCTCCCCCTCTGCTCTTCTTCAATGTCTGTCGTTCAGCGTTGGTCTTGGACACAGCTGAACCCTGCCACCGTCCCTCCCCCGCTCTTCCCCTGCTTGTTTTTTGTGTGTTTCGCCTCCGTCGATAAACAGCTGGACCCTGTCCTTCAGGGGCTGGACGGCGACGTACCGATGGCGGGATCGGAGGAGGACGAACAGGCCCTCAAGAAGCAGATCAAGTCTCGTGAGGACGCGCTCTTGCCCATGTACCTCCAGGTAGGTGGTGGTGGTGGTGGTAACTAAATAAGCCGAACGCAAAGCGTTAGCGCTGACTATAGTCCAAAAGCTTCATTTCGGGTTCTATATAAAGCATGAACGACTTCTCTCACACGGAGATGGATGGCATGTGTGGCACATGGGATATGACGCAGAGAAGCAAAGCTGCCGCTGCTGTTGCTGCTGTTGGCCTTTTTGCAACCTTCCCTCTGTTGCTTCTGTCGGTTTTCGTTCCCGTCTGTGACGAACCCACCTCGCCCCTCAGGTCGCTCACGAGTTCGCGGACCTGCACGACCGGTCGGGGCGCATGAAGGCCAAGGGCGTGGTGCGCGACATCCTGGAGTGGAAGACCTCCCGCGAGTACTTCTACTGGAGGGTGAAGCGCCGCCTCGCTGAGAACGGCGTCCGCAAGATGTTCAAGGACGCCGACCCTTCCATGTCCTTCGACGACACCACCAAGCTCATGCAGGTGATGTGTGGGGGACCCTCGTCCGATAGAGGGAGTTTGTTTGTGCTCTGCGGAGCCCCCGTGTTAATGTTTCCTAACCTCAGAAATGCCAAAGACGGTTGGTTGACACACCACACAGCTCTTCGTTGTCCAGGACTGACCTCGACGAGGCAAGCAACAGATGGCAATGATGGCAATGGTGGTGGCGCTGGTGGTGGTAGAGGGCCTTTCTTTGCGCTTGTCGCGTGCTTTGGGCAGGCGGATTTGGTGGTGGTGGCGGTGTGCTTTGGGTAGGTACCGTACGTTTTTTCTTCTTTCGCGCGCGCATGAAGGAGAATGAGGCGTTTTTGTTGGTTCCGTGCTCTCGTGTTCTAGGTACCGTTTTTTTTTTTTTTGTTCGCGCTCGTGAAGAAGAGCAAGGCGTTATTGACCCCGTGCTTGCGGTATGTAGGGTCTCCTGCCCTCCTGTGCTAACTACAACTCGCGCGTTCCGTTCTTCTTCTTCTCTTGGTCTGTTTGTTCTGTCAGTCGCTCTGCCCTGACTGGGAAAACGACAAGGCCGTGCTGGACTGGGTCGAGTCGGACCAGTCTTCCCTCAAGGAGTACCTCGCCGGCCTCCGCAGGTACACACGTCAAGTGAAGTGGGGCGACGATGGCGTGTCTCTTGTCTGCTGGACCGACCACCCGTGCTGTCTGTTGCTGGGGTGTTTTTGGCTTGCATGTTTTTGTTGCGGGGTTTATGGTGCCTGCGGTCGTTTCGTTCTTTGGACTACCTAGTCGTGGCCGAAGCGAGCCTCGAACGATAAACAAGGGGGTCGTTACTTGGCGGCGTCTTCTGTAGTCGGGCTGTCTATGCCTCCTTTCGGCACCCGTCGCCAGCTGGAGTTATTCACAGTGTAAGTCGGGCAATCTGTGGGTCATGTCGCACCCGTCAAGTGTGAAAGAAGGCATGCAACATGACACCATATATATATATTTATTTATTTTTCTCGCGGTCCGGCGTCCCGAGGCTATCTCTCTCTGGTTGGCCAACAACTGAACCTCTCCTTCTTGTGCTCCGCTCGCTCCTGTCTGTTGCCCCCCTCCCTCGTCATGGAATGGATCGACAGCGACGCGGTCCGGAGGGATGTCACCGCTAGCCTCTCCACGCTCACCCCTGAGCAGAAGGCCAAGGTGTTGGAAGGCCTCTAAGGCTAAAGCCGACCCTTGTTGTTTTCTCGTGGTACCTAGACCTTTATTTTTTTATTGTTGCTGCGGCGTCTTCCGTTCTGACCCCGTTCGCTACATTCACGAGAAAATCTTAGAGGTGTGCATTTGCGTGGGGAGGTTGGTCGAGAATGGAGTGTTGGGCTTCGACCTCACGCCGCGTGATCCTGGACGGCATGGTCAGGTAGGCAGGGCGGTGTTCTCATGGCCGTGCGTGCATGCGGTACAGCGGTAATCGCTAGACCACTATTGACCTCGCATCCCTATAAAGCCGGGACGGAGTACGCCAGGTTTTCACCCGAACAGACCACTATTGACCTCGCATCCCTATAAAGCCGGGACGGAGCACGCCAGGTTTTCACCCGAACAGACTAGCACATCGCCCAAGACGGGGGGAGGGGTTAGACGCCCTTGGTAGGTTGTAGTGTAGCGTGTGCGAGAGCTCGCTTCCAAGGGAGGCTGGCGTTGTGGCAGTAGGCTTAAGAGGAAAGGAGAGGGGTTCGAGATGGGTCGGCCGTCTGGCTACAGGGTTGCTTCGCGAGCGGGGGCCGGTAGGGGCGTCCGTCATCGTCTTGGCTGTCGTGGTTTTTGTCGATGTTTCTTGGGTGAGGTTGTGGGTCCACCCGTGGGTTTGAGTTTGAGTTTGAGACGCCTGTTGTTTCGGTTTGTGCGGTGGACGAGCTGCTGTCTTTGAGAAAAAGTGACCCCGCCCATAGTCGATTATACCGTTCTTTTTTTTTTTGTGGTCTGGAACCAGGGCACCCGCGGCCGCCCTGGGGGTGGCCTGCTTGTCTTGTTTTGGTATGTTTGTTTTGGGGGTGCGTTCCATATCTCGCCATCGATATCACCCCTGCTCTCTGCTTAGAGTTATTAGTCGTTTTTTTTTTGTCTCCGGACATTTAGTCTTTCCTCCGATTGGAAAGGCGGCGGGGGATTGGGGGGTTACTGCCGAACGCAACGTCATTCGTGTTTGTTTTTTTTTGTGTGTGTTGGTTCGATTGTTCTGGCTTTTTTTCCCGCAGTGGTTAGGGGTGCAAACGAAACTACGCGCGGTTGGATGGTTGGTGTCAAATGGCTCTCCTTGTCTTTTTCCGAAAGCAAGGGGACAGGTTGCTCTCGCTTCCCAGCTATCTCTCTCTCTCTCTCTCCCTTGATCGGTCGCCACCTTGAAGTGCGCCGCACACTGGGACCAAAGTTCCGGGGGAACGGACCGGTAGCAATTCCGCCGCGTCTTCCGGTGTAGAAGGAGGGGGCTGCCGGTCCCCGAGCTACGCCGCGAGGATAGCTATTCTAAACTTTTCGTGCCGTTTTTGGTGGGTGTCTTGTTGGATCCACCGCCTGGACGGAGAGGGGGGCGCTCTAGCAATTACTCTTCAATCGAGGCTGTGTTTGCGGGCCGCGGGGGTGGGGGGCCAGGTTAAAACTTGAGGGGAGGATAGGGGGAACTTGACAAAAGGGGTTGGGCCTGGCGATTCATCTGAGTCGTTGCTGTTCGTTCGTTGGCAAATTCCGTTGATGGGTGACGGGAGGGAGTGGGGGTACAATAGAGGTGATTAGTAGTAGAATGAATGGTTCCATCACAGGAGGAGGAAAAGATGAAGGGCGAGGAGGCAGTATTGGGGGATGCAAGACCTGGTTCGATCCGATCGTCCGTGTCTTGTCGCATGGGGGCGAGCGAATCATCATCACACAACAAACGGTTATTTCACTCAAAGCCGGGTTCGAAAAGGGGGGGCGTCGGCCGGCTGCGGCGTGTTTGGTTTCTTCGTGTCTACGCAGGGTACTTTACAGGCAGTGATATTCATTGGTTTAAAAGGTTTTGATAGCCTTCCTTTTGTGTCGGGTGGGTCCATGGACGACGTTGTTGAGACGTCTCTTACTGCTGTGAGGTGGTATGTTGCAGTGCGGCCCATTGCTGCAGTCAAGATCGGTGTTTTCCTCTCTTGGCATGCTTGATGCCATCGTCTTGCCCCCGGCCACGCAAAACACCATGAAGACACGCTGAAGAGGGCAAAAAAGATTGTAAGGCACTTTGTTCACGCAATCCAGGGGTTGCACTGTGTTGGTGCTTCCATGTGGACCCCCCCCCCCCACCCCCCTCATTTTGCGTTGAG